CAAAGTTTTTCTTCTAGTTGATAAGACGGGCTTTCAAGATGTTATGAGAATAAGTTTTGGTACCTTAATAAGATAGTAGTAATAAGTTTGTCAGGTCAGTATAACTAACTCCATTTTGTTTCAACCCTCCATTTTGTGATTGATTTTGTTTTGGGTAAGTTGTGTCTGACTCTTCATAACCCCATTTGGGGGTCTTGGCAAACATACTGGAGTGGTTTGCCATTTCCTTCTCCAACTCATTTTACAGATAATGAAACTGAGTCAAATAGGGTTAAGTGACTTGCCCAGGGTCACACAGCTAGTAAGAGTCTGAGGCCTGATTAGAACTCAGGTCTTCCTTACTCTAGGCCTGGTGCTCTATTCACTGTGCCACGTAGCTGCCTACCACTTGGGTGATATGATGTAATAGACTTGTGTGTGTTCTTAAACAAGTGATAAACAGGGGTAGCTAGGTGATGCAGTGGATAGAGTTCCAGCCTTGGAGTCAGGAGGACCTGAGTTCAAATTGACACTTACTAGCTATGTGACCCTGGGCAGGTCACTTAACCTCAATTGCCTCACAAAAAAAAGCAACCCCCCCCAAAAAAAACAAGTGATAAACATATAGACCCTCTGATTAGACAGACTAGAAAAATATTATAAATAGCTTTATCAGTAGTTGAAGTTATAAACTACCAACAAAATTATGTGGTAAGCAATTTAGCAATACCCATAGCTAAAAGTGTAAAAACCCTGCTGGAGGCCCCAGTCATCAGCTTGTTCCTAGGAACTGACTAGACCTGGCTCCTACAGTCCTTATACTTGAGACCTGAGCAGGTCATGAAGCGCAGTGCTGATTGGTTGACAATGGAGACTTGCCAGATAACCATGTTGGAAGGAGACATGTGGTCTCGGGCTGGACAGAGAGAAAACCCTGCCATTACTCTAGCATGAAGAAAAAGCTTATGCAAGGCTCTAAGAACCAAGTTGGTGACTTGTTCTTACACAAAAGTATTGTTTGTACATTTTAATAAATAAAGCTTGATGGCATACATTAAGACATATAAGTCTAATAAGAATTTCCATCACACTAGTTAGTGAAAGTAATGGTAACTTGGCAGTATGTATGCACCACTCCTTAAAGTGATCAACTCCTATTTCCTGAGTCTCTTCTGGTTCCAAAAACCTATGACTTTCCTTGACCTGGGAGATAAGTAAAAGCTCAAAATCCCAGAATTCTATGCAGGCCCTGACAATTTCTTCCACCATGAGAGATGTGGAATGTGATTTTATTTTGAGAGAGAGAGGTATTTCTCATAGGACTCTCATCTATGAACTGCCTCTTGATCGGGCTGTAAACCATCCCTCTATTGCTTTGCTCGCTTTGCTTACTGCCTTTAATTCTCTCTTCCCTCCCTTTTTTTGTCTTTTAACTCATTCTTTAAAACTCAGCTCAAATGCAACCTCCATCAGGAAGCCTTCCCTGATCTCCCCCGTGAGGCATACCTTTCTTCTCAGATCTCAAATAGCACTTTAAACAGTTGAATACATTTATTATGTGTTTTATATTACAGTGGTCTGCAGTGGTGTCTTACCCCTCCCACCTCATGGTGGATTATTAGTCTCTCAGGGCAAGGACCATGTGGCATATAAACTTCCTATCTTTCCCAGGGTCTAGGACATTGGTCTGTGTGTAATAGGTGCTTGTTTCTTGTTCGTCTTGTTTGATTTAGTCTGGGTTAGTCTGCTATCCCACCCAGTACAGAGGAAACATATGAACAAGTCCTTAACTCCAAAGAATAAATGGTGTAGTTTCATGTCAGCCTGGGAGGGGAAGGTGGCTTTTTTGGAGAGGGGGTGTGTGCAGGGATGTAGTATATGTGTATGGGGGGAATTTTCTATAGGACCAACCATGGTCATGAAGCTTGGAAGCAGAAGAATGCCTTAAGTAAGGGCTATAATCATGCTGGGCCATTGCCCCACTGGGGGACACCTGGGCCGTAGGTGGAAGTCTTTCCCCCTCCTCCCCTCCATTTATTTCTCATGTGGGAAGGAATCCACTGAACAGAAGTCTGAAGATTCAGTCTTGTCTCCAGTGGAGGAGTAAATCTTTACATACTCTGATGGTTGCCCAAGACTTCTTCCTTGTGTTAAGTTACCATAGTGTAGGTAAAAGGAAACATATCTAGCATCCATTGGCATGATAACAATGCTAAGCTGGTATCTGGCTGCTTAAAATGATCTCTTGTGGGCCCGATGCTTGACTGACAGCTTAGCCAGTCAGACATTGTTATAAAGGTGGACAGAATATGATCTCCTCTCCCTACACAAAATGTTTATAATGATTTCCAGAGCTGAAATTTGGGCAAGAAGACTGGAACTTTGTTGCAGAGTGATGAATTTAGAGGAAGCCCTGATGGTACTCTCAGATCATCAATAGCATAGAGACAACTGGGTTTCTTCCCTGGCTAGCAAGAAAAATTCATTAAAATGGGAAGCAGTAGATGCCTGTTTTCTATGCCTGGTCTTTGGATCCCAAATGTGTTCTCTTTTCCCAGGCCAGTCCTATCTATAATACATTAGTGGCCTCCTCCCTGGGGCACTTCCCCAGCCTAGCAGTGGTCTTGAGGCCTTTGCCAATACTGCTTCCTCTCCAAAATGAAATGAGTATATGTTTCATGCCACTTGCTCCAGGCACAAAAATATCTAGTTATGGATTTGACAGTTCCTGTACACAGCCCTGACTTGAGATCAACAGTACAAAAACCCAGGAAGAAGACACTGATTTCGCTGCCATCTTCCTGGCGAAGCAGGGACCAAGGCTTGTGAGTTCTGTTTAGTGATGGTTCAGATTGTTGGCAAACACATCTCTTCATTATGTTGAATAACATTTAATAGATTTTTTTACATGGGTAGTAATAACAATTACTCGGGTACAACAGTGATATATGAGCCACAAGGTCAAGAACAGCAGCTTTTTCCTTTACCAAAAAAAGTGACTTACTCCTACCCACTTTTCCTCTACATAGGACAAGATGGCCCAGGGAGGGGTAGATAGATAGTCTTTTCTTCGACAGTTTCTATTTACACACTCTCCATTAAAAAAGTTTTGGTCAGCTTGAATAATTCACTTTTTTAAATATAAGCCTATTATGTATTGTTTGTTTCCATGTACAAATGATCATTAGCAAGTTAATCATTTAAGGTGCTCAGAGGTATAGGTGAATCCCAAGGCTATTTTCAAATCCTAGGGTTTAATCTATGCTTTCTAGCTTTCCCCTGAAAGCTTTCGCTGGTAGGGGAAGAGGCTGGAATACCTTCTGCCAGCTGGTTGGACAATAGGGCTGCCACTATAGTCTGTGGATGGAGCAGGTTGAGGGCCAAGGTAAGGCAAGGACCTGTATTCTCATAGGGTTGCAAGATCTGACACAAGCCCACACACCAATAGGGCATGTGTGTATGTATGTGCTCTCTCACACACACACACACACGTATATAGGTAGAAGGTATCTGGTACACAGATACCCAAGCGAAATTGTAAAGGGTGACAATTGTCTCTTTGGGTGCCTCTATACCAGTGTCTACTGGATGCCTAGGGTCCCAATTGTCTTGCTCCTCCTGGGCAGTGCCTCCAAACTTCACACCTCTCCTGACCCACTATCAGGAGAGGTGCTTGTCCTGCATCTTACTCCCTTCAAGATCTCACCCTCTGCTCAATTTGTCTTATGCACTAATTCAGGCTGAGGTGTTAATGGATGATAATGGTTTACTGCATTAACCTTTCTTGGCAACAAATTTGCATTTTAAAAGGAGGCCTTTGGGGCAGCTAGATGGTGCAGTGGACAAAGCTCTGGCTTTGGAGTCAGGAGAACCTGAGTTCAAATCCAGCCTCACACACTTGAAACTTACCAGCTGTGTGTCCCTGGGCCCTGATTGCCTCACCAAAAAAAAACAAAACAAAAAACCCCAACAACCCCCGCCCAAATAAAATAAAAATAAGAGGAGGCCTTCAAACCAAAGGAATAACCATTACAGTGGGGTATCAGGCCCACTACGGGCCAGAGGGAGAGAGACTTGGGGTGAGGCAAGAGGCTTTTGACACATCTTACTGTTCACATCACACCCCATAGCTGCCTTCCTCTTCCACTTATGCATAGGGCTAAGTGTATGTATGTATGTGTGTGTGTGTGTGTGTGTGTGTGTGTGTTGTGTGTGTGTGTAAAGATTGCAGAATCTGGCCTTAGGAACATCCATCAATAACTGAACTTCAGGTTCAATAACCACGCAGGAATAACTCAGTGGCTTTTACCTGGTTCCCTGTCTTGTGGACCATCTCACCACTAAATGAGCCACTTCTCATTGAGAGGAAATGGAGGTCAGGAGACGGTATTTTTTTTTAATCCAGTGACTTCCAGGTTGTCTGGGTCTGAAGCCCAGGAGGCTTCAGGCCAAGATGGCAAATGAAAATACTTGTGTATTAAAAAAAACTATAGGATATGACTGTTCTTGCTCATTAAGGAGAGACCTCCAACTTCTGATCCATGGAGGAAGAAATTTTTTGGACTTTGGTTTCCCTTAGATTCTGAAAAGAAAGCATTTCCACAGAAAAAGAGATGGCATGAAGGGCAAGTCTGGGAGTCAGGAAGCCTGAGTTCTACTACTGCTCTGACACTCACTGTAACTAAGTTCCTTGTGAAGTCACCTTCCATCTCTGGACCCCACTTTCCTCATCTGTCAAAGGAAGGGATTGGACTAGATAACTTCAAATGTCCCTTTGGGCTGTGATATTTTTTGTGGACTTTTGAGTTTGTGGACTGCATGACTTAGGAACCAGGCAGGGTCTGTTCCTCTTTGGGAGGCTTCCTTCTTCCCATGGCTACAAAAGCCCTTCTCTTTCTTCCCTCCCATCTTCCTTCTCCCAAAGCCCTCACCCCCATGAACGTGTTCATAAACTGATCTGTTCAGTGTTCTGTACAAAAGGCTTGTTACCCTAGACTTATATTCAAAACAGATTCCAGAGGTTAAAAGGCGCAATCATTAAGGCAGTTTAATAGATTCAATATTTCACTTGTATTTCCTGATTCCCTTAAGGGTCCTGTGAACCCTAAGGCATCAGAAAGGAGGCTGGGGGCTGTTTGATTAAAAAGTCTGGAATTAGCTACCCACCCTCTGTTGCAAAGGACTGACATGCCAGGAACAAAGGCCCTTTTCTTCCCCCTTTGACCTGGGTCTGCAATGGCACAGGGCTGCGGCCAAGCCGGCTGAGGAGAAGGGCGAAGTTCATGATTAGCAAACCCCTCAGCTTCACCACCTCTCCTTTGGATAGGGTTCGGTCTGTACGATGTCACTGGGGTGCTCTGAGATACATGCCCCATTGATTTCACTGAGTTTGTTGTCTGGCAGGTCCTCGGGCTTGGTGCAGAGTTTCAGGGCCCTGGAAATGAAGACATCCAAGTCAAATTGAGGGTCTGCCCCATTGTTCCCCTCCTTGGGGTCCTTGAGGTGCTGGGGTGAGGACGGCAGGCTCCGTTCCTGGATCTCAGGGAGTGGACTGGGGCACTCAAGGCCGCTCTGGGTGCTCTTCACCCATTGTGCAATCTCCAGGAAGAGGTTAGATGGCTCCTCCTCTAGGGAGAGCTCAGTGGCTGGAGTGATGGCTGTCTTCTTCCAATGGGACAGGTCTAAGATGAGCTTTGGCTCTGAGTAGTGATGGGGCTTGTTGTCCCTCCACAGTAACTTATCCAGGTAGGATGGTGATCCCACCTTGTAGTCACAGGACCGCCCACAGTCAGAGTCAAACACTCGGTCCATGGATGAGTGAGACTGCTCCAGGAATCGTTCAGAGCTACTCTGGGAGTATTTTCGTGGATCCACCTGGACCTCTTCCACTATTGACTCGGAGCCTGCACGAGGGTCCCGCTGCACCTCACTTGTGTCAAGGTATCTGTCCTGCCTCCATTCCAGATCAGAGGACAGACTGACTTGATACCTAAGAGAAGACAGACAAAGAGGATAAAACAAGAAGCTGAGGACCAGGTGGGATTGTTGCTAGAGAAAAAAATGCCATTAAATATTGCTGAACTCCTTTGTGGGTCATCTACACTATATCATTAAACATTTATTCATACATATACCACTTTGTATGATTCTTTGATAACTTCTTCCAAAATAAAAATTGCAGGATGTAGGAACTGGAAGAGACCTAACTCCCTTCACTTTATAGACAGGGAAACTGAGGCCCAGAGAGAGGATTGTTCATAGGTTTGTAGATTTAGAGTTGGAAGGGACCTCATAGGTGATCAATACCAACCCACTAATTTTACAGATGAGGAAACTGAGGCCCAGGAGAACTTAAGTAATTTGACAAGGATCCTATAAGCATCTGAGGCAGGATTTGAACTCAGATACTTTGGAGTCCAGGTCTAACAATCAGGTCACTATGCCCTGCCACTTCTCAATGTGTCATGCCCAAGGTCACACAAGTAGCTAGTGACACAACCAAGACCACAACATGGGTCTCCTGACTTCTAGTCCAGTGCACAGTCTCCTTCCCCCTACCCTAAATTTTCCCCTGCCCCAGTGGTTGAGTTGAAGTCCAACCAAGTTGCAAACTCCTTGAAGGCAGAATCAAGGGGTTAAGGCTTCTCCTCTGTCCCCCTCCCTACTCCCCATTCCCAACACACACACACACACACACACACACACACACACACACACACACACACACACACACCCCGTACCCAGTACATGGCTGGGCACAGAACAGGTGCTTGGTCCGTCTTTTCTGATTGCTTACAGATATCTTTGGGAGATACTGAAGGACCTTAGGTCCCTAACAGTTTTCATGGTTTCTTTAAAGTCCAGGAAAGATAGGACTGCTGAATGGGAGGAAGAACCAGGCAGACAGCACCAACTGAGCTTCTGCTATGTACGCACTCCTTGGAGGAGCGTAACGAAAATAGCTGGTAAGTGAATAGGAAAGGGGATATGTCTGAAAAATACACAAGGACAAGTGGAACATGCTATTTTCTTTGTGGGTGATGAGAGACACTAGGGAGGCCCCCATATTTCCTCTAACCCACCATCAACCAATGTTTCCTTTGGGTTAAGCAGTGTTCCTAACCAGGGGACCTCTTTAAAAATTCACCAGGCAATACATTCAATCCAAGCCCCATAACAGGCATGAGTTTCTTAAGAGATATAAGACATGGAGCAACAGGAAAGCCCAAGGAACCTAGATGGTACTGAAAGGAGAGGAAGAGTACTGGAAGGGAAGATGGGGTCACAATTCAATAAATATTTATTTAATACCTGCTATGTGAAAGGCTCACTGCTAAAGGCTGGGGATAAAAAAAATAATGTTTCTCCCCTCAACGGGCTTGCATTCTACTGGAGGGATTAGGGTTCACTATGCATACAGATAAGTATAATACAAAGTGAATTGCAGGAAAGAGCACTAAGTTAGGAGATCTTCATGGAAGAGGTGGCACCTGAGCTGAATCTTTAAAGAAATGAATGCAATTCAACAGACATTTATAAAGCACTTACTGATACCAGGCGCTGTCCTAGGTGCTGGATTCTGAGAAGTGGAGATGAGTAGAGAGTACATTTCAGGCATGTGAAGATACATGGAGGGGAGAGATGGCATGCCTAGAGTTTAGGAAGGGGGGCGAGGGGTAGGCAAATTTTATGGACTTAGTTATTTTGTCCAAGGCCAGCCCTGAAGACCCACGAAAGCATGGAAGAAACAGCCCGGAGTGGAGTCAGGAGGTGGGGGGTGTAGTCCAGGTTCCTCCATTTGCTGTGGGCAGCACTCTCCTGCTCTGAATGTCAATTTCTTAATTTGTAAAATGGGAGGATTGCATCTCCTTCCTTCATCCCACTGGCCAAAGTATTACCACCACTTCCAAAATATCATTTGGGGCAGCTAGGTGATGTAGTGGATAGAGCTCCAGCCTTGGAGTCAGGAGGACCTGAGTTCAAATGTGGCCTCAGACACTTGATATTTACTAGCTGTGTGGTCCCGTGCAAGTCACTTAACCCTGACTGTCTTACCAAAAAGCAAAAAAAAAAAGGGGGTGGGGAAGATTTGACTAGATCATCTCTAACAAGCCTTCCAGATGTCCAAAAGCTGTCACTCCACCCTCTGCCTCTGACCTGTGGGTTTTCTAGCAAGTACTTTTGGGTCACCTCCTAACTATGAAAGAGTTCACTGTATCTAGCCAGCCCCTGACCCATCACACCATACTCCAGCCATCTTCCTCCCCACCCCCATCTCCCACCTCTTTCCATCTTTGGAAATAGTAATCAAATTAACAATATGATTCCTGGAAAGTCCACTTAAATTGATTGCCTTGTGCCTCCACTCACCATCCCTATAAATTCCCTGACCAAATCATACCTCTTCCCCTTTTGTAAGAATGTAAGTGTGTAAGTTCTTTGAGAGGAGGAATAGTTTTGCTTTTTGTATTTGTATACCTAGCTCTTAGAATTGTGCTTGGCACATAGTAAGTGCTCAGTAAACACCTTTTAACTCACTGATACATGATTCTAAGAATTTGTCTCAGAGCTATGTGTCTCTCAGTGCTGTGGAGGTCACTGACTAGAAGGTGAAGAAAAGGGTGCAGCTGGAGGCAGAGCTTCTTAATTAATCTAAGCTTTCCACATGATTTATGAGTCACTCAGTCCTAGAAGAATTGCTCTGGTGCACATGAAGGGGCTTCAAAAACAACAACAAAATATCTCTCTGAACATAATCTGCTCAGCAAAAAGAAACTGTCCCAGCCTTGCCTTGGAAACCCCCTATCCTGTACCCATCATTTGTCAAATGATTCAAAAGGACACCTTAATTGTCTTTCACTTATGTAACCAGTTGTCAGTTCCCCAAATGTAGTAGGACACCCACTTAGGTCCCTTGTTCTCACTTCCTCAGAGAATTCTAGCTGCCAGAATGATGTCTGCTTCTATTTTTAATCCCTGAGCAGTCAGAAGTCCCTAACCCTTTCCCCTCCCAGGATTTAGCAGACAAGCACTTATAAAATCAGAAATGACAGAGACAAAAGGCACCTTAGAGATGATTAAATCCAAGTCCCTCATTTCACAGATAAGGAAACTGAGGCACAGAAAGTGACATTACTTATTCAGGGTCACATAGCTAGTGAGCTGGGACTAAAAACCCAGGTCTCCTGACTCCTAGACTAGTGTGCCTTTCACTACCCCATACTATCTCTCAAAGCTGAATAACCTCAGGAGCACTGAGCTTTTCCCAAGAAGGTTCAATTTCATTCTGGCATATGTCATGACTCTCATTTCCATTCCTCATTGGAAATCCCATAGCAGTTCCTATGGGAATTTTATTATCCTTAACTCACAAGACCAAGGCCGAAATAAGACAGCTTTTCTAGCCTCAGACTTTGAAGGACAGAGCTTGGAGACCCAGGGGTCTGGAATAAAAGAATGACTAAGGAAAAAACTATGTACCTCGAGACTCAAGTTTGCTCAACCCTAGAAACACCACTGTCATAACTGATGAGATTTCTCTAGAGCAGGGAGGAGCTGACAACTTATGAGAGGAAGCATGCCAAGTGGTTGTCTTCTCTCATTCTGATGGGTGGTGTGTGTGTGTGTGTGTGTGTGTGTGTGTGTGTGTGTGTGTCTTTATTGGGAGTCCGAAGTAGCCAATGGGTCTAAGGAAAGTTTCTTTGCTAAAAAATCTCTTTTCTCCCACATTGGACAATTAGAGAAATGAACTGAAATGAAAAGGCTTCTCACCACTGAAACCACTCAAGGGAGAGGTTTAAGTTAAAGTCTCATAGATTGAGATCTCATAGACAGGGATTGCAAAGATCCTATGGTTCAATTCCCTTATTTTACAGATGAGACCCATGAATATTGTGACTTGGCTGAGGTCACCTAGGAAGAGGGCAACAGAGGCAGGATATGAACCCAGGTCCTCTGCCCCCACAGATCATTCCACTCCACCTCACTGGTTAAAAGGTATTTGCTATTTAGCATGATATAGCACTATAAGACTGACAAGACACTTTTACATTCATTATAAGACTTGATCCTTACAACAATCCTGTGAGGTAGGTAGCCCAAGCTTTATTGGCCCTATCTTACACATGAAGAAACTAAGACCCAGGGAAGTGAAGTTCATGGTCACACAGTTAATATTCAAACTGTGTCTCTGCATTCCCGGTCTAGAACTCAACATCACATGGTGTCATCTCAATCAATCATGTAGATCTTAGCATGAAGAGATTTTAATCAGATAGTCAGAATGAGATCTGTTCTGCCAACTAGAGTAGCAGTGTTCCTTAGAAGAATGGGGAGGAAGACATTCTCTTCTAACAATGGACCCTTCAGGAGAGGACTTGCTTGGGGGAAGGAGAGGCAGATGTTTCAGTAGAGGGATTTGAGCATGAGGAGAGGAGCATGAGAGGACTAGGCACCTCCTAAGCAAGCAAATTAGGATGTAGGCAGTGGGAGAGGGGCACATAAAAAGTGGTAGGAGAGTGACAAAGATGAACTTTGCCGCCTTTCAAATTTCATAGCTCTTTGGTCCTGGTCATTGGCAACCTCCCTTGCTGCTTTTGGCATACGGACAATTGAGGAAAAACAACAGATGACTAGGTTTAAGGAGCACCTGGTCTTTGAAGAGATCAAAACATTATGATCAAAATATCCTTTATGCTTTCACCATGGGGTTGAGGAGACAGATATTATTCTTATTGCTATTTTTCTGATGGAGAAACTGAGGCTCAGAGAGATTAAGTAACTTGCTCAAGGTCACTCAGCAAGTTAGCATCAGAGAGTCAGATCTAGAATTTGGGTCTTCTGCTTATAGACTAGGGGGGTGGTGTCTGTGTTGTGTCCTTTACCAGACTGACTCTTTTTATGTGGATCAAATATCTCTAACATCTAACATTTAGGAAGAAATGTTGAGAAGCACTAATGTGAACAAAGCCATTGGTAGCTGTATAGATCCCCAAGACAAGCTACAGAATCTTTCTTTCTGAACTCAGCTATGAGCAAGCAGCTGAATCACATCATGGCAACCAAACATGAGAATGAGTAGCCCCATTTTCTTTCAAGGCCACTAGGGAGCCAACCTCCAAGTCAACATGAGTCTTGGGTGGCCCTGAGTGATTTTAAAAGAATTCACAGTTCATACTTGCTAAAGCGATATTTGTTTTAATCAATAGAGTTGTTCCATGGAACAATTGTTCCTAAGTAAAATTTGGCACTTTCTCATCTTTTTAAAGTTCCTTTCCTGTTTCATTGCACAGTGGGCTCTGTTCCCAATCTTAGAGAGAAGTACTGAAGGTATGTTCTCCTTCTCTCTCTCGGACCCTGTGCAATGGTCCTCAGATCACTAAGTATTTGCTACTTTACTTGTAGGTAAAGCCAGTTCTTTGAATGAGTAACAGCGTCATTCTTTCTCACTACCCACTGTCAAGGATAGATTTAGCCTGAATCAGGTTAGAGGGCAATTCTGAGAATACTCAACTCTTTGCATTGGAAGGATCCTCAAATGCAATCTAGTCCACCATACTGAAAAGATGAAGCCCATTTGTCAAAATCTGTAATAGCAGTACTCTAGCTTGGCGAGCTGACTAGTTAAAGAGCCCCTCAGAGGTGCGGATGATTCTAGCCTGAGCCACCTGCCCTTTCTCACCCAGTTTGCCTTGGGACCAACGGTACGAATTTGTGCTGTGATTGGCTAAAGCTGGGGCATCATTTGTGGTCATTAAATAGAACTTAGCTGATTGGCTCATCAGCAGATTGAACTGGCAGCCTTGGTGGCATTAGGATGGTGGTCTAGCTTGTTAGGCTAACCACTGATGCATTCTGTTAGATCCTGTCAGCTTCCTCACAGGTAACACTTAGCAAAGCTAATCCCTAGATCCTGTATCTCCTAATATAGGCAACTCCTGAGGTTACTCAATTAAAAGTGGAAAATTGCACATGATCAAAAGCAAAGGACTTCCCTGTGCTTAGTACAGCTGCAAATTCAAATTAGCTCATGTTTGTATAGTGCTTGAGGGTTTACAAAACACTTTCCTTATAAGAGTCCTGCAAGGTAGGTAATAGTTTTTTATCCCCGTGAGCCTCTGGGATTCAGAAGGTTAGATGACTTATTCAGGGTCATGCCAATTAGCAGGCATCTGAGGCAGGATTTAATTCAGGCCTCTTGACTTCAAGCCCTGTGCAACTACCCATGCCCTTCTGACATACAAAACTGCCTTAGAGATCAGGTACCAAGGGGCAGATTGTTCATCCCCTGAAAAGCCTTATCCTATCTCTCTCTGCCAGCTTCATATCATGCAGGTTTCAAAACCTAAACCCAGCTCAAGTTCTGCCTTTTCTGAGAAGTCTTTCCTGACCCTCTCAGCCCACTGTGCTCTCCTTCTTCTAGTACCAGCAGAGTCATTTGCGCCACTCGTGTAGTAATTTTCATGTGCAACCAAGAGGGTGCTGGGAAATGTTTAACAGCCAGCTACACGTGGCACACTTTTATATTTAATCTGCATTACTGACAATTTCCTTATCACTTTCTTAAGTCTAGACAATCGACAAGACAATAAATTAAACCCCAGTTTTCCAGCATTTACCAGTTTCTGAGGTTCTTAGCTGGGGGCAGCTAGGTGGCATAGTGGATAGAGTGTTGGAACCAGAAAGATTCATCTTCATGAGCTCAAATCGGGCCTCAGACACTGTGTGACCTTGGGTAAGTTATTTAACCTTGTTTGTCTCTGTTCCTCATCTGTAAAAATGAGCTGGAGAAGGAAATGGCAAACCACTCCAGTATCTTTGTCAAGAAAATCCCATAGGATCACAGAGAGTCGGACACAATTTTATAATGACTTAACAAAATGCTCACACTGAAATTTTAACAACTGGCTGTACCACACCCCTGCGTACAAGCTCATGACATCTATCACAAAGCAACTGTGTGAGGGCAAGGGTTGTGTCTTATTCCTATCCGTGTTCCCCAGAATGCCTAAAACTGAATGTTAGCTGTATTCAGGAAAGACTTGTTGGTGATCGATTTCTTATGCTGTTCCTTTGCATTGTTATCAACTGGACTGTGGACTTCCTAGGTGGGGGAGGGGAATGTCTCATGTCTCTTTATATCTTCCAAGTGCTTGGCACAAGGCCTTAAAAATAAACGCTTGCATTGGTGTTGTGTTTTCATAGTTTTCAACATCCATTACCTCATTGGATCTTCATAACAACCCTGTGAGGTAGGCAGAGCAGATACTATGATTCCCATTCAACACCGAAGGAACTGAAGCTCAGAGAGGTTAATCAATTCATCCAAGGTCACACAGCTAGTGAGTGACAGAGCCAGTACCAGAACACAGGGCTTCTGCCTCCTTTTCCAGGGCTCTTTTCACTCTAGATACTCTAGAAATATTGTTTGAATGCTGTTGGACACTCCATTTACCCCAGCACAGACAGTTAGATGGAGAGGACAGTAATAAAAGTAGGTAGTGACTACCTAGTTCATCCTTGAGAAAGGTCATTTGCTCATAGCAAGGAATTACGAGTTGGGAGAGCAAGAAGAACCATGGACTTTGTTCACCTGATTGTGAGAGTCTGGGAGAAAGGCAGAGAGGATAAGCCCGGCTGAGGATGGGGGAGGAGATATACATGGGCTGTGCAGCTCTAAGGTCATCTTCCAAAGGCTGCTGGAATGCATGACCAATGAAAAAAAGGGCCTCCAGTGGCCTGCAGTTAAGTTGGGAAGGTAAGGTGGATGGGTGGAAGGGCAATGTAGAATCAGGTAGGACAGTTACTTTTAACAACAGCATTGGAAGCTGACAATACTGCACCTGTCCCAGGTGGAGAGCTGGCTCTGGTTGGCTGCCATCAGCAAGATGTCGTCAATCTCATCCTCAATTCGGAAGGGCTGCTGGGAGGTAGGCTCATCCTCTGGGCATGAGTACGGGCTCATGTAGGGGTGCTGCAGGCCCATCTCCGCTGTTAATCTGTCCATGGGGTTGAAGGTCAGGATCTTCTCCAGAAAGTCAACGGCTACAGGAAGTAAAGCAGAGCAGGATATAGCAGTCATTGATTCCTCCCTATTAGGCTGAGAAAAGAAGATTGGGAACATATAGGGTCTATGGGACTTTCCTTTAGGAGAAGTGGTTGGCAGGAATGAATTTGAAGTGAGTCTCCACTAAGGACAAACTTTGCCTGGAAATGGTAGGGATGGGGAATGAATGGACAGATGCTGGATGGAGGGGCTGAAAAAGGTTGATGGATTAAGTGAGCACTTCTGAAGTTCCATTTTCCTCCCTACTTCCAAATTATTATTTCTCCCCTTGTTTCTCCTTCAATTTCTGTCTTGATATAGTGAAAAGATGACCACTCTGGTAATCAGAAGACCAGGGTCATTTGGCTTTGTCATTTGCTAGCTTTGTGACCAAGGACAAATCAGTTGTCCTCCCTACTAAGCTGCCAAGTTTGTGGGCATACTGATGGTGATAATGATAGCCAGTGCTCATATATCAGGATATATAGCACTTATGAAGTGCCCAGCATTGTACCAAGTACTTTACAGTTATCTCATTTTATCTTCACAATTACCCTGTGAGGTAAGTGCTATTATTATCCCCATTTTGAAGATGAGGAAATTGAGGCTGAGAGAGGTAAGTGATTTGCCCAGGATCACATACTTAGTGTCTGAGGCTGAATTTGAACTCAGGTCTTCCTGACTCCAAGCCAGGTGCTCTATTCATTATGACATCTAGCTGCCCAAGGTCCCATGTACAGGTGGGTAAGTGCAGAGAATAAGGCTGGGACAGACTTTGACATTTGACAATTTTGTATAGGGCTGACACCAGTGTTAGGAGCATCAGTTTCCTTGTCTGTAAAATGAGGTGTTTGGACTAGATGATCTCTAAAGTCCTTTTTTGACCTCAACACTTTACAATTCTTTAAAGTCCTTTTTTGATTTTAATACTCTACAGTTCTTTCTGCCTTGAATCTGGGTCTCATTTTCTTAGTCTTCCTGCTTCCACCCAAAAGTACTTTTCCAATAGTTTGCCAAGTGCCTGAAACTACACCACTAGAGATTTGCGCCAATTCTCTCAGGTTAAGACATTTTACCTTTAGGAAACCTCTATTAAAAATGGCAATTCTCCTGGGAAATGTGACACATTAGGCTATCAGACATTAACACATTTAGGGGTTTGTCAGCAGATGTTAAAAAGCATAAAGCAAAGGTCTGTGGGAATGGGAACAGGATGAGTAAGGTTTTTTTTTTTTTTAGGCAATTGGGGTTAAGTGACTTGCCCAGAGTCACACAGCTAGTACGTGTTAAGTGTTTGATCTGAGACCAGATTCGAACTCAGGTACTCCTGCTCTATCCACTGCACCACCTAGCTGCCCCCACAGGATGAGTAAGTTTTGAAGGGGTGAGAGTGGGGAGTGAAGAGGAAAAAGGTCTCAGCATGAGGTGCTCCTTCAGGGAGTGTAGGCCTGGGTGTGTTCTCTCAGTGAAGGCCTTTGGATACCCAGGGTCAGTTTGAGGACACTGAGTGAGCATCTGGTTAAGTGATGCACTAAGAATGAAAAGAAGCTTAGGACAAAATTTGCCCACTTCACACTTTTACTGAGGGCAGGTCAGCCTATTAGGCTCCCCTTCTTCTTCTTCCCCTTCCTCCTCTCCTCTCCTTGTACAGAAAGCACCAATGTTACCTGGATACTGCCTGATGCCTCCGGCATGATGGGACTTGCCCTAGAATATGCTAGAGAGTATGTTCTGCAGGCCATCCCAGGGCCAAGTTTGGTCCCCAGGCAATAATGTCTCTGTAGTTGTTACTTCCCAGCTCACCTCTTTCTGAAAAGGCCACTTAGATCATCATGTAGCTAATCATATTACAACTCAAGAATGAACCTACACCCAATCCCAGGTTTGTCTGCCATCCAAGGAGCCTTTGAGGAGACAGCCAAGCGGAGAAGGGGCATCTCAGCCTGGAGCCATTAACCTGCCACTCACTGTTGTCCTGGCTCACTTTGCTGAGGGTATTCATCAATGATTCAGGGAGTCAACGGATTCAGAAAACTGCTGGCCTTCTCCAGAGGCTTCAGTGCCACTTCTGTAACACAAGTCTCTGGGACTGAAGGACACATAGCGGTATTTCAGTAAGGAGCGCAGGCAAGGGGCCGTGATTGGGCAACATCCTCACTGCAAACCAGGCATCTCCAGGTCCCAGGGCTACATAGCTTCAATGACAACACCTGACATTTTTACAGAACCAGAAAGTACTTCCACAGCCATTATCTCATTTGATTCTCACAATAGCCCCTGGCTGTACACAGGGCAGGAATTTTCATCTCTATTTTGCAGAAATGGGAAACGAGGGTTGGAGAGAAGAGATGGCTTGGCAAAGCCACACAATATGTAAGTATCAGGATGGGTCCAGTATTAGTGTACTGGAATGGGAGTGAGAGGATGGAGGCTCCTAGCCTGGTGTTGCCTCTCACATACTGTGACCTTGGATAAAGTATTTAACTTCCACGGGCCCTTAGTCTTTTCATCTGCCAAATGGGGATGATAATGCCTATGTACCTAATTCTTTTTGTTCTTGTTGAGTTGTTTCAGTCCTGTCTGACTCTCTGTCACCCCATTTAGGGTTTTCTTGACAAAGATACTGGAGTGACTTGCCATTACCTTCTTCAGCTCATTTTATAGGCAAGGAATTGAGATAGACTGGGTTAAGTGACTTGCTCAGGGTCACATAGCGAGTAAGTGTCTGAGGCTGGATTTGAACTCAGGTCTTCCTGACTCTAGGCCAGGTGCTCTATCCATTGCAGCACCTAGCTGCCCCTGAGATAATATGGGTAAGACGATACATAGGATCCTAGATTTAGAGCTGGAAAGGACCCGAGAGCTGATCCCATCCAACCCTCTCATTTTATAGATGAGGAAACTGAGGCACAGAAAGGTTAAGTTACCAAAGGTCACATAGCTAGTAACTGAGATGGGATTTGAACTCAGGTTTCTCCTGACTTCAGGGCTGGCGCTTTACCCACTGCACCACCTATTTCTGTACAGATAAAATGAAATTTTCTTTTTGGACTGGGTGTCAGAATGAGGAAACTCTTCTACTAATGCAGATCCACATCTTCTCTGCAGCCTATACTCTTAGTGAATTGGGTGCCTGGAATACTGAGAGGTTAGTAACTTGCCCAGGGTCACACAGCCAATATGGGCCAAAGGTGGGACTCAGATCTTCCTGGCTAAAACAACTGCCATCTTGCCTCTTAATGCCCCCGGCAACTCTCTAAGGTGACCATTAAAAGACTGCAGGGAAGGTGAAGAGCTTCTGTGGTAGATGTTTATTTATTGGGAGTTCCCTATACTATTGTCTGGTAAAAAAAAAATCTATCTTATTTTATCCTTTTATTTATAGGAAATGAAGATTATGATTACTTTACAAAATCAAAAGTATAATACTAATGTAAAGCCCTATTATTATTATTAGCACCACCACCACCACCACCACCATCAGAACTGGACAGGCCCCTAGAGGATCTCTAGCCTAACTCCTACCCAATGCTGGAATATTCTTACATGTCCTTCTGAGACATCTGGTCAGTCAGCCTTTACTTGAACTTAAGGGAGCCTACTGGACAGCAATAAATATTAGAAATTCTTCCTTATATCAAGCCCCAAGTTTTCTCTCTTTAATTTCCACTCACTGCTCCCAGTTCTGCCTCTGGAAATGCAGAGAACAAGCCTCTGCCCTCTTCCACACGAGAGCCTTTAAATGTTTCAGAGCTTCTGCTCTGCCCTTCCCCCAACTCTGTTCTCCACAGTAAACATCCCTTGTTCCTTCAATCAGCCCTCATTTGCCATGGTTTCCAGACCTCCCCACAATTTTCTTAATGCCCCTTTATCCCAAGGCATTGAAGCAGATTGGGGTCATTTTTCAAACTCTGAGGCAGGCAGGGGATTTTCACTAGAGGCAGCACTGCTATTTCTGGGAATATGAGGTGTGAGCCCGGGCAGCTTTAATAAGCATCTGGGGCTAAGTCAGATTAACAACAGGTGTCAACCCATGCAAAAGGACCTCTTCTAATAGTTAAAAAAAAAGCAATAGTCATTTGCCTTTGTTGTTGTTCAGTCATGTCTGACTCTTCGTGACTCCATTTGGGGTTTTCTCAGCAAAGATACTGGAGTGGTGTGCCATTTCCTTCTGCAGCTAATTTTATAGATGAGGAAACTGAGTCAAACAGTGTTCAGCGACTTGTCTAGGGTCACAATGCTAGTAAGTGTCCAAAGTTGGAAATAAACTCAGGTCTTCTTTACTCCAGGACTCACACTCTATCCCCTGCACCACCTAGCTGACCCAATTCACCTTTACCTAGTACTTTAATGTTTGTAAAATGTTTTCCTTACAGAAGTCCTAGGAGTAAGTAGTGGAATCATTATTATCCCTTTTGTGAAGATTAGTAAGTGAAGGCTCAGAGTTAAATGACTTGCCTGAGGTCACACAACTAGTAATGTCAGCAGTGGAATTCAAACCAAGGCCTTTTGACTCCAAGCCTAGTGTTCTTTCTACTATATCATGCAGTGTCTAGTCATTATTATTATGTTGCTTATAACACACAATGGAGCTTGGGGGGGGGGTCTTCAGACCTGAGAGGTTCTGGGGAAATTACTCCTTTGATTGAGGGTCTCCCACTGCATCTAGGGCCATCCTGATTGTCCTTGCCACTGGACTCTGATGACTGGAGGAGACAGTGAGGCTGATGACTTTGCACAGCCCTCCTTCACTTACAAGTCAAGACATCATCCTCCTGATGTCATTGGTCTTCTTCATGAATGAAGGCCAAACAACAACAAATAACAACACTCCTTTGATTATTATGTTAATCTTCCTCTAGCATCAGGACTGAGTTCATCCCCCTCCACAGAGCATTCAAAGGGCATCCACAACCTCTTAACTATTTTTAAAACTTTATTTTCTTTTTCTTACATGAACCACTTGATCTGGCAGATTGGCTCATTTCTTATTCCCTGAATGTGCCATATGTATTTCCACCTCTGGGCTTGGCTCACACTATGCCCTTTACTTGGAATGCTTGCCCTTCTTTCTCCACTGGTGCAAATCTTGTCCAAGGTTATTACCTCCTGTGGGGAGTTTTCCCCAACTTCTCTTCAGTTATTGGGAAGAAGAAATGAATGAATGAATGAGGGAAGGAAGGAAAAAATGAAAGAAAGAAGGATTTATTAAGCACTTTACAAATATTATTTCATTTGATCCTTACAATAATCCTGGGAGGTGGGTGCATCTATCTCCATTTTACAGTTAAGGTAACTGAGGCAAATGGAGATTAAGTAACTTGCTCAGGATCACATGGCTAGTAAGTGTTCGAGGCCAGATTTGAACTCAGCTTTTCCTGATTCAAGTCCCAGTGCTCTAAACACTGTGTCTACCTGGTTGGCATCCTCCAGTACAAATTACCTGTCACTCACTTGGGCTTTAGCCTGTGCCATCTATTTTAATTCTTCATCTTTTCATGTACATGTCCTGTTTCTCCAAGGAGGATAAAAGGCTCCTGAGGCCAGAGATTGTATTATATAAGTAGGGTCTATCTCTCTAGTTTCTAACACAGTGTTCTTCATAAAAGTACTCAATGTGCAATAATAGTAATGCAAAAATTGCACCAAACATATCGATCACTTTAAGGTTTGCACAACACTTTCCTCATAATGACTCTGTGAAGTCAGGTTATTATTATTTTTTGTTGTTGTCTTTTTCCATACAAAAAAGAATTCAGAGGGATTAAGAGACTTGCCCTAGGTCACAGAGAAGGTTAACTGAAGAACCAGGCCCGGACCCAGGTCCTTTGATGATGATGGCTTTCTGACTGGCCCTAACACTGATTTTCCTGGTATGGCTTTGAAGACTCTCAGACTTTGGAGGTCTAAGTGAGCTGCAGTATCCTTATGTGTTTTGGGGATCAATAACTCTCTCTTCCTACTTTGGAATCACAAGCAGCAAAAAGAGTTCTTTGTCCTATACTGATATTTCTTGCTCTGTTTCTTTAGAGGGTGGGAAAATAAATACAAAGATAGAGCTATGGCACTATGGAAGATAAGCATCTTTACCTGGCATCCTCATTAGCTGTAGCTTACATAGGTTTCATTTGAGAAATGGGAAATCTGAGGTAAAAAAATGTTTAAGACCTACCAGTGAGTTTCTGAACTAGAATGATGAACAAAGACTCTTTCTGTTCTGGATCGTGACTTTGGGAAGCACCTGTCCAAAGACTGTAAAGGTCATTTTGTTCAATCATTTCATTTTACAGATGAGTGTCAAAGAGATGAAAAGACCTGCCTAAGTCCATGCTGTTGATGTGTGGCAGAGCTGGATCTCAAAGTCAAATCTCTTGATTTCACATTGGTGCAGCCCTGGCCATGGTACTGAAGATAGTAGTAAGGAGCAGCTGGGGCCTGAGCTCCTTGAAAGTCTACTTTGGAGATTGGAGTGAAGGAGATTGTTGTCAAAAAGATTCTCCGAGAAAACTAAATGCTAAACATATAATACCTCATTGATTACCCTAAGGAATTTTCCAGCTTAATGAAGTGACAATTAAAACATTCCTAAACAATTGTTTCGCTTGGGAAGACTCACATGAACTGGTAAACGTGAGTGCACACCAGGCTCATATACAAAGGCAGGACCAAAGAAACAATTAAACAACCACATAATAATGTAAAGGAAAACAACACTAAAAGACAACAAAACTGTGATTAATCACTCATTGTAACTTCAGAGAACTCATGGTAAAGTAAAGAGACGGTAGCTCACAGGTGGGAATGAAGCATTCATTGTCAAAGCACTGATTCATTCTGCTTATTTGTATTTCTTTGGTTCTAGGGTGTGTGTGTGTGTGTGTGTGTGTGTGTGTGTTCATTAGAAAGTGACAGTGGTATAACAGAGTATGATAAAACTGAAATCCTCATCTTATTTTTAAAAAATAAAATTTATTTTTAAAAGAAAACAAATAGATTAATTTTGGATGCAAAATTTCTCCAAATCCTTACATACTTCTCTGTCTTTAAGATGGGGCATTGAACATAATTTTACCCTTTCTTCAGCATTTCAGCTCATTGTTATTAAGATCCATTATTATCTATTAACATCCTATACAACCTGAGTCAGGTATTGTACAGAGCTGTAATGCAGTGATGTCCTCAGGATCTATTAAGGTGAATAAGGCTGTTTACTTTTACACAGATATGCTTTTTGAGTTCCCATGTCTGCTTTTTATGATGATTTTCTCTGCTTACTCACCCTCAGACTATCAGTTTTTGCTTTTGGCTGCATTTGGGGTGCCCTGCCTCTAAATTACTACCAAATACCACTGGGGCCAGTCAGTGGCTCACAGGTGGCCAACCTCTGAGTTAGGTCATTAAATCAGTTTTGAAAATTGTAAACAGTTAGGAGGGCTGACCTAGCAAGGGAAGGATCTTGCATGTGAGAGCTGCCAGTTCCCCTATGGCAGGACAGCTGCCTTCATGTGGCCATTTGGGAGGGACCAATTACCCAGACCTCCCAGAGACAAGAAAGGCTCTCATAAAACTCAGCTACCTTCACTGTTGACTTCTGGGAGCAGCTTTCTCAGTGGCTTTTTCACCTCCCAGGTGCTGTTGACGAAGGAGGGCATCACTCTGAGCAGCTCATCTTTGTCTTCCTCCCGGACTACAGGAATTGTCTCCAGGATAAGCTGCATCTGTTCCAACTCATGACCCCCTGAGGAAGGAAACATCAGAGGAGTTACATCTACTAAAAAAGTCCTGGGACCAAAGGTGAAGTTTTGGGATCCCTGGGAATGGCAGCTTGGTACAGTGGAGAATCCTGGGCCTGGAAGTCAGGAGACCTGGGTTATAAGCTTGGCTCTGCTCCCAACTAGCTGTGTCACTTTGGGCAATTCATGTTTCCTCTCTGAGTCTCTGTATCTTATCAAATAAAGGAGGTGGACCAGCTAATAAATCTCTGAAAGGCTCCCTTCCAGCTCTATCCTATGCTTGGCACAGTGGAAAGAATGCTAGATTTTGAGTTAGAGGACATTGGGCTCATATCCAGGCTCTGCCCCTAACATCATTTTTAAAAAAAACATTTGTTATTCAAATGTTTGGTGTCACACAGATATTGCCTTAGAATTAATGCTTCACTGTTCCTGGGAGAGGAGCTTGGTGACAAGAAAGGTCAAGTCTGTAGGACAGGTGGTCAGGATCAGAAAAATTGCAAACAGAGAGGGGCACAATTCCTCTATCTTATCTTATCTTATCTTACCATAAGCTTGGAAAATGCAGGTGCCAGACCAGCTAGTCTTTTTTCTATTCTAAATTTTCCAGCTCTCTATGATGAAATGGAAAATCTTTCATCATAGTCCAGTCTCATAAGCCTCCCTCCCTTCACTGAACTGTTACAGTGTGCACCAACTGAGATGCACAAATTTAGGGACATCTCCACTTCAAATGTGCACGTGGACTTTTTGTGGCCAACTTGTGGTAGAGCCTTTCGAGGTTGCATTGGTCTGAGCAGCCACAGTTGGACCCAGTGTACTTTGACTCTGACACAGTGATGTCATTTTCATCCTCTTTGAGCATGAAGGACAATGACCACAGTGTGCACCAACCCAACCTAGCACCTGACCATACAAGGTTTTATATTACACTCAAATCCTTTTAGATACTGTATTATTCTGAAAAATTAGTATGGATGGCTTATTATAGGCAGAGTTTTTCTAGGTAAGCCTAGATCAAGCCAGAAGAATTTGGGATCTTAAAAAAAGGAAGATGAGTGATTCTCTTCCCATCTGTACCTCCTTCTAGAAGTGCCCCACTTTTGCCCATCTAGTGCTGACTGATATGTGACATAAGTTACATCGCAGTGGTAAGAATCAGAGGATTGAGGAGGAAGAGTCCCTTACAGCAGGGGTGGGGACCTCACTGGGACACTTGAAGGTCTCCATTAGTGATACCCCAGGGAGCCTGGTAAGGAGCAGAGCTATAGGACCCTCATAAGGTATCTTGACTCAGGGAACCATACCTCAGGCCCCTCTGTCTCCCCTATAAGACCTCTCAGAATGAAGGCACTAGTATCTTCCGACTCATTTCCCTTTGAGTTAAGTTCCAAAAAAACTAGGGACTATTCGAATCTTCTACTCAAGTAGAAGGACACTTTGCCTAACAGTCAGTTGGTTCCAGTCATGGCTCTGACCCTAAACCTGTGTGACCCTTAATTTCTTTATTTGGAACATAAAGGGCTTCAGCGACATAACTTATGTCCCATATTACCTTTGGACTAAGTGAGCTCTTAGAGCCCTCTAAGCTCTGAGATTTCAGGAGGCTATGGTTCTGTTCCTTAGATGATGCTGAAAATCTCTTCTAGTCCCAACATTCTATTATTATTGTAGTCTCAATTAGCTCCATGATGAAAACAAATTAGGTGTTTATTTCAAATGTTACAAAAATTGGAGAGTAACTCAAATTAATTTTCTCCCATCAAGTTACCTTAAAAAAGTAAAATCTAAAAGCATAAAAAGCTTAGGAAACATGACAAAGGTTATGAGGAAAACAGAAAACTGATTGTGGAAGTGCCAGTGTTACCAAGTATATAAATGGAAAACAAAGCAGTGCTTCCTACTTGGTCATTACAAGCGCAATAACAAATCTGAAAAATGTCTTAAAACTATTCACATTTCTTTACCTAGTGTGTGCTTCATTTAAATATGAATGAACAAGTTTTCATTCTATTTAGAACTCATATTTTGATGTACACAAAAACTGCTGAAGTTAAAACATCTGATGAAGTCTAAGATTAGCTGTGTGAATTTGAGCATGTTACTTAAGCCTGAACATTGATTTCCTCAACTGTTAATTGGGGATAAGAATCCTCCACTTATCTACTTCCATGTTGAAAATTGTATATGAAAGTGCTACAGTATGTATATGGAATGTGTATTGAAGTGCTATGGTTCTACAACTATAAAGGTTATTACTTTGTCCAAGACAGCAGTCCTGATCCAGTTCGGACATGGCCCACTCTCTCTCCTTGCCAAGGTCCTTAACATATTCCTTTGGTCCTTGCCTTCTCTTCTATACAAATGTAAACTTTGTTTTCCAGCAGGTATGAAAGTAAATAAGTGAGTCAAAGTGGGCTCCCCTTGAGCCAAGGTCTCCCCACAGAGCTTTCACAGGCCACTCACAAAAGGGCTGTGTTTCCCAAACATTAAGATAAGGCATCATTTGACGTTCACTGCTTAACATGCTGGGTTTCATCAGTGTACCCGAGTCCAGACAGCAGCTCTGGTATGCCCTGCTGCTGGATATCCCAGAGATGGATTGGGTCCCGTGCAAACAAATTTATCTCTGCTATCTCCGAGGGCCTCCACTCTGTCACCAAGTGGGGCCATTTCCCATGGTGAGAGCTGGCTGGGCAGCCTTCCTGAGGTCAGCCCACTGCTGGGAGGCCCTGGGTATCACAAACATCTTCCACATCATTAAGTGACTTTGGGCCCATTTAAGTGGAAGACACAAAGTCACAGTTGGGGCTTGAAGGACAATAATTCACAGATAGCCCTTTCAACCCTCACTCCCCTATGAGAATTCTAATTCACTGACCCCCTTAACATAATGTCTTTGTGCATTCTCTTTCCAATCTTGGTTTTCTTGACCCAGAATGTTTTTCCCTTTTTTCCTGTGGGTCTAAGTCCAATCACTCCTTCAAGCTCCAGTTTAAATCTGGCCTCCTCCATGAAGTTTTCCCTACCCCCTCTGATCTCTGCTTCCTTCAAACTCTAATAACACTTACTTGTGACTCCTCATGGCGCCTAGAACATGTCAACTAGAGTAACAGGATTTTAGAGCCAGAAGGGACCTTAAACATCAATTAGTTCGACTCTCTCACTTTAGATATGAGGTAATTGGGGCCCAGAAAGTGCCTTGCCCAAGGTCATACACGTAATCAGCATCAGATGTCAGATTCCGGTGGACATCTCCTGACTCCAGAGCCAGTACTCTTTCCAGTATGCTAGGCTATGTCCCTTGTATTATTGTTTATCTTTCTATGTAAATGTCTTATCTCTTCAACTAGACTATAAGCTCCTGTAGGGAGATATTTTGGCCTTTTTAAGTAACCTTGGCCAAGAGGGTAGGCAGTGATAGCATGCCACCCAGCAGTCCCTACCCCTAAGTATATTCTATATGTCTCTCTAGAAAAGAGCAATTAATAGGCTTATGCACCTTTTAATAGGCACCTGTATTCAGCTGGATCACCTGTCAGAATTACAGGCCAGGGAAAAATAATCACAAGGTGCTCTGAGGTTGACAAAGAACTGAAAGTACACGATCCTATTGGATCCCATTAGTGGGCACATAGTCACTACTCTGCCTCAGAGGCAACGCTGTGTGGTGGCTAGAGAGCTGGCCTTGAAACCAGAAATACTGGGGTTCAGGTCCCACCTCTGATACATACTGGCCAAATTTGTGTTTGGCCCTGGCCATGCCACTTAATCTCTCAGTAGTCCATTATCAACTCTCTAGTACAATATGCTGCAGAAAATGTGCCAACCTGTACTGGCAGAGGGAATTTCCTCAGCTGGGAATTTCTTTTATCAATGAAACAATAGGCCTGTTCCTATCCTTATCCTCATTTCACAGAGAAAGACACTGAGGCTCAAAGAGATTAAATGACTTGCTTCTAATCACACAACTAGGAAGTGTCAAAGGCAAGATTTGAACCCAGATTTTTCCTGATTCCAAATCCAGCACTCTCTTATACTATATTGCCTGGTTCAACCTCTATAGAGCTTGAATATCCAAGTGTGCTAAGTGATGGCAGACATCTCATCTTTCCTGATTCTTTGGGTGACAACAATCTTTCTTCATGGACCTACCTCTCTGTGTTGCAACCATCTGCAATATGATATTTACTTATTGATGCTTGTGCCTTATCTCCCTAACTAGAATGTAAGCTCCATGAGGACAGGCAGAATGTCTTATTCAAACTTAATATCTTCTCAGCACCTAGTGCAGTGTACGGTACACAACAAGCACTGAGTAGATAGTGACTGAATAAATAAATAAACGTGTAAATACTTGGGTTGGATACATTCTACGGTGGTAAAAGGACATAGTCTTAAAGAACCTTTACTGCTATCTATAGGATGTTTCTTACCCCATCCAATGTAGAAGTAGCTATTCTTGGCCTAGAGCTCTGCAATATAATAGGCAACTGTCCCATGTCAGGGTTCACTGACCAACAGGGTCTTACTCTCAGGTGCATATACAGTATGTGCTGAATGTGCCCAGGTACACTCTAATGTCCTTTCCCCAAACTGGTTTTTGTGTCTCATTTTTAAGTTTGTATTGTTAATAAAAGTTTATTTGTTAATTTTAGAGAAATTAAATTTAGTTAAGGTTTAGTTTGATAAAGAGAATGCCCTTTATGATTGATTATTCAACACATTGCCCTTAAAAATAAAAGTACATTATCCGAGTGTATACCCTGAAGGAATGTGCTGCATGTGTTGTTGATCCCAGCACAGCGGAGGAGAGGGTATTCTCAGGGATGCAGCATCTGAGACCTTGGATAGGTCTTGACCATAGTCCTTTCTGCCAAGGACAGGTCCCAGGTGGTAGGGGCACAGACACATCACAATTTCCCTTGGACCTTTTCCAAAGACAAGATAGTCCATAGGGTATATAAATGTGCTTTTGAGACATACTCTCATCCACCTGGATCACTAACTGTCAACAAGTCTTGCCTGGTATTTCTACACACTCTTAAGTCCTAATTCTGCCACACAAAGACAAGACTTGCTACTAGTTCTTTGAACCATTACACTGGCCTTCTAAGTGGTATGCTTTCCTCTATTCTCCTCCTTTCTTCCTTTTCTCAAGCCCTTATACTGCTTCTAGACTTATCTTTCTTATACACAGATCTGGTCACATAGCTCTTCTGCTTCTGTGGCTCCCTATTACCTACTAAGCAAAGTTTGAACTTTTTTGCCTGGTGTTCAAGGCTCTCCACAAACCAGCCACCTTCCCTATCCAGCCTTGATGCTTATTCTTTTTCACTATGCACTTTATATCTCAGCCAAACCAGAATGCTTTCTTCTCCCAAATACACACTGAGCTTTCCAATCTCCAAGTCTTTCACTATTTCCTATAAATGGAATGTCTCTTTTTCTCCCTCTTGGCCTGATGAATTCCTATCCATCTCTTAGTACCCAACTCAAGTCTCTCCTCTTGCATGAAGACTTCCCATGCCATGTCTCTGCCTTGCCACTGAGTGACAGTCTTTCTGTTGGACTTCACATGGCACCAAACCACATATATACCACAAGTTATTTTAAAGTATGGTATGTATGTATATATAAAAGATATATATATATATATATATATATATATATATATATATATATATACATACACACATATGTAATATATCATGCATAGATCTATTTGTGTGTGCAGGTGTATATACAATACATGTATATATGCATATGATATATTTATACTCTTTGTATAAATATACGCATATGTGAGTATATGTGTATATACATACATCATGTGAGAGAGATGTGTGTGTATATATATGTTAAACAGAACTGAGGATAAATCTCACATTTAAATATCATTTATATATACATACACATGTACATTATACACACATACACACACATGCACAGACATACACATACACACATATATATCATACACACAGACACATAAGCTATATATTTCCTGAGTATCAGCTATGGGCCCAGGCCTGTGATGTAGAAAGAACATTATTTTGAAGTGAGTAGATGTAGGCTTAAACCCTGCTCTGACACTTATGAGACATAGGATCATGGCTCACCTTTCTGAGCCTTGGTTTCCTCATCTAGAAAAAAAAGAAATGATGTTGCCTCCTATCCCTCACAAATGATGGTGAGAAATGTTATTTTGCAAACCTTAAAACATCATATAAATGTGCATTATTAATTTTTACTGATTTATTGGTCTTAGCCAATCTGAGAGCCAGACTTCAGCCACAGATAAATCAAATGAGGGTAGAATAAGCCCCATTTTCCATTTAATTATCCCATTTTAGAAGATGAAATGTTGTAAGGAAAGGAACAAAGGAAAAGTAGGAACCCACCAGCAAACAGCATCTTCCCTGTGAGCATTTCAGCCAAGATACAACCAGCTGCCCACATGTCTATGGCCTTGGTGTAGTTGTTGGGAGAGAGAAGCAAGCGTGGAGATCGATACCATTTTGTGACCAGCCCTTCTGAAAGATAACCCTAGAAAAGAAAAGACAAAAACACCAGACCAACAGGTAAGTAATGCCTCCTGAGATACACTTCTTCCCAAACTTCTCCTTCTTCTTCTTCTTTCTTTTTTTAGGCAATTGGGGTTAAGTGACTTGCCCAGGGTCACACAGCTAGTAAGTGTCAAGTGTTTGGTCTGAAGCCAGATTTGAACTCAGGTCCTCCTGACTTCAAGGCCAGTGCTCCATCCACTGTGCCACCTAGCTGCCCCCTCCCAAACTTCTAATGGTCCGGTCTCACAGAGGAGATGTGGGAGTGAAATAGGAAGAACTCCTCCTTTTTGTCTCTTCCAGTTATATTGGCAGGAAGCTGGAGGCATTTGGTGGATCATGGCTCAGATCTGCTGTCAGTCACAGTACTGGGTGAAGTCATGTATAGAGTCTTGGCCTGGTACATTGAACATAGAAGTGTTTGATAGAATCTGGGGGCAAGTGAAAAAGTCTACGAGCCCGGGGAAAATAGCAGTCACAAAGCACATTCATTTAACTCTTCTCAAACACAGAATGCATTTAACTTAATTTTAACACATCGCACTGAGTGATCTGGCTGGCAAACTTCAGTTATAACTAAAATTTCAACTAGAGAACTCAAAGGTGTTAGATGAGGAGTTGATGGCAGGAGTTTGTTTCTCTAAAGGGTTTTAAAGAAATTATAAAAGAGAATAGAAATAGCCACAAGGGAGAACACTGAAGAGCTATCAACCAGAATTGGCAGTGAGGCAGAGTATTGAACTTGCAGTCAGTGTTAGCAGAATGAGCCAATTTGGAGGGGAAGCAGGTAATGGAGCCCTGAATTACTTATGCACAAAGCTGGAGAAAAGACATAAAAGTAAAGGCTGTTCCAGGACACCCTGGCTCAAAAAATATCCCTACTGGATAGGGACCCCTGGTTAAATATAAATTTCAAAGGAAGAATAGCACATTAACCCATCGCCAACCACCTTTGCTTTACAAATTAGATTACTGGGGACTATAGGTTTCATTAGCAGCTAGGTGGCGCCATAGTGCACAGAGTGCTGGGCCTGGAGTCAGGAAGACTCATCTTGAGTTCAAACCTGGCCTCAGACACTCACACCCTGGGCAAGCCCTTAACCCTGTTTGTCTCAGTTTCCTCATCTGTAAAATGAACTGGAGGAGGAAATGGCAAACCACTCCAGCAGCTTCACCAAAAAAAAAAAAATAGGGTCATGAAGAGTCTGAAATGACTGAACAACAATTAACGGGTTTCCTAGCATTTAGAACTAAAATCAGAGACCACCCTGTTTACAGAGGAGAGAACAGAGGCTCAGAGGGGAGAAAGGACTTTCCTCACAGCCACTAATATAGGAAGTGGCCAGGATTCAGTCCCACATCGTCAAACCCCAAATCCATTACTTTGTCTACCACCCCATTCTTTAGCAAATCAGTCACCTGAGGGTGGGAAATGAGACACAGTTTTCAATGGGGTATTAGGAAAGGTTCAAGTCAATTTAATTCAACAAATGTCTATTAAATATGTACTGTGTGCAAATATTTATTAAATACCTAATGTGTGCAAGATATAACATGCGCTGTTCTCTAGGGATGTGTGGGGTAGGGCATCGAGCAGCAAGGGGGCAATCCAGGGATCCCAAGGGGAGGGCACTGAAAGGGGAGGAAGGTAAATGGGGAGAGGTAGATGCTCTATGAGCAAATGGCACTTTTCTAAGTTCATCTTCCATTATTCTCTTGCATAGATCCTTCCAAAGCCAAACTGTCCTATTAGCGGTTCCCCAAACACATCCCGTACTTTCTCATCCCCATGTCTTGGCTCATACTATTCCTTCTCCACTGGAAATGCCCTCTTTTCCTCCTTTTTCTTTACTGCTACTTGCCTTACTTCTCTATCTCTGTAACTAGAACTCTCTACACCACCAGTTACCTGGTCTCTAAGGTTTGAAACTCTAGGTTGCTTTGGACTCTTCCCTCTCCCTCACCTCTCATATCTAGCCAGTTAATGAGTCTTGCTGATTCTGCCTCTGCAACACTGCTCACACTCATCTTTTCATCTCCATTCCCACTGCCACCACCCTACCACAGGTGGTCATTACCACCCACCAGTATTATTGTAATAATCTCCTACTAGGTCCTTGCATCTCTCTTCTCTCTGGTGCCTTCAATCCAGCCTTCATACATCTCCCAGAAGAATCTTCCTTCTGCATAATCGTAAAATAATAATAATGATGGTGATGAGAGCAAACATTTCTGTAGCTTCTATAGAAATGTTGGCTCTTATAAGACAATATATTATGTAAGTATATAATATATGCAGATATATAATAATGAGAATAAACATCCATATAGCAGTTATAGAAATTCTAGATCTTGTAGTATAATATAATAATTATAACATTATATGTAATATAATGTTATGTTATATGTTATATAAAAATTATAATATAATAATAAAATGAGAGCTAACATTTATATATAAGCTATTTTATATAACTTCTATATAAATGTTAGCTATTTTTATTGTGCAGAAAGAAGATATTCTATATTATGACTTGTTAAGGTTTGCAAAGACTTTACATACATGATGTCATTTGATAGACCTGGCCACGTCACTCTTCTGCTCAAACCTTTCAAAACCTCATTCTGATGCTCAAAACCTGGTCCCTTTATTTACTAAGTTCACATTCATTTACCTGGTATTCAAGATCTTCTATAATCTGGCACTGCTGCCCCTTCAATAAATCAATCAATCAACATTTTTTAAGCTCCTACTGTCATACCCTTACCTCAAATTACATCCCTTCATGTTTTTATTGTTCAGTTATTTCAATCATGTCTGACTCTTCATTGCCCCATTTTGGGTTTTCTTGGCAAAGATACTGGAGTGATTTGCCATTTCCTTTTCCAGCTCATTTGACAGATGAGGAACTGAGGGTTAAGTAACATGCCCAGGGTCACACAGCTAGTAACTGTCTGAGGCTAGATTTGAACTCATGAAGATGAGCTTTCCTGACTCCAGGCCAGGCACTCTGTGCACTATGGCACCACCTAACTGCCTTGTACTTCCCTCCAAGCACTCTATAATCAAGTTAAATTATACTGTCTTCCAGACATGTCCTGCACTCTCACTTCTGGGCCTTGGGTCATACCTCCATGCCCACTCTATCATCTTCACCTTTTGAGTTTCTACCCATTCTTTAGAGCCCAATTCAAATGCCACCTCCCTTGTGAAGCTTTCCCCAATTCTCTCTATTGGTTAGAACCTTCCTACTGAGGCTTCACACAACATTTTGTTTTGCCCCTTTCTAAATACTTCTTAAGCAGATAGGTGATGCAGCAGAGCTTGGAACCAGGAAGACTCATCCACATGAGTTCAAATATGACTTCACACACTTCCTAGCTGTGAGACCCTGGGCAAGTCACTTAACCCTGTTTGCCTCAGTTTCCTCATCTGGAGAAAGAAATGGCAAACCACTCTAGTATCCTCATCAAGAAAACCCCAAATGGGGTCATAAAGATTTGGACATGACTGAAAACAACTCAACAATAATAACAACATATACATCTTCTTATTATGTTATGTAGTTATCGGTGTTTATGGCTGACCCTCCTGCTGGGTTAAGCTCCATGAGGAGCTTAGCCAAAGGACTTTGTACACAACAGGTTCTTAAACATGTTTGTTGAATGAATAAATGAATCCACAATTCTTTAATGTCTAGTTCAAAACCACCTCTTGATTCTCGTAGTCAGACATGATCTCTTCTCCCTCTGAATTCCCACAGTACTATGTATCCTCATTATGGTTCTTATCATTGACATTCAGGTACAATTATTTATTTAGATGTATGTATATAAGCTTCTTGAGGGCAGGGACAATATCTGAAAATGATACCTGACATTTATATGAAACTGACCAAACATTCTACCCAGATGATCTCTCTTGAGCTTCACGACATCCTCACAAGGCATATAGTACAAGAATCATCATCATTATCATTTTGTAGAGGAGGAACCTGGAACCTGGAGAGTGAAGTGACTTATCCAGGGTCAAATGGCAATAATGAGAAGAACTGGGATGTAAACCTGGGTTCCTCTAACTCCAGCTCTCTTTTTGCTAAGCTGTGGTTACCTTATTAGTGATCCAAGAAAACAGTTTCAGTAGAGTGATAAGGCTGGATTGCAAGAGCTTGAAGAAGGAATAGGTAGACCAGAAATGGAACCAATGGGCATATTAGTTTATGACGGGGCAAATGTGAGGGAGGTAATGAATTTATGAACTTGTCCAAAGCCATAGACCATAAGGTAGAAGCTGGGACCTTTCCAAATAATGCTTAGCAATAATCAATCTTTTTATTTTTAAATGAAACATTTTATTAGAAAGCTAACATAAATATCAATAAAAACAATTAATAGACATTTAAATTAATTAATTTTGAGAATTTTGGTAGTGAAAATGAAGAGATTAAAAAGTACAAGCTAAAAATGGCTACATGGAATTCTTTTTTTTCAAAGGAAGACTGATATATGTTTGAAGGAAGAGGGGACATAGCCAATGAAGAGGCAGACGGTGAAGATGCTGGAGAGAAAGCATGATCCCATGGGGGCCCATGAGGGATGGGACCAAGGTCATAGATTGCCCTTGGAAATAATGATAGATGTGTCTTCCTCTGAAAGGAAGGCTGATAGGATAAATGGGGAGGAGGGAAAGAATCTGAGGACTTGTCCAAAGCCATAAACTCTGGGGTGGGACTTGGGGTCTTCCAAATGATGCTCAACAATCATTCATTTAAAAAAAAGTTTTATTAGAAACCCAATATTAAACAAATAAATATAACTAATATATATCTAAATTTGTTAATTTTAATGCATAATAATAACACTTTTTAGACACTCTCTCTAAAAAGGAATATTCCTGAATTAGACTAGAGGCAGGCTAGCATATCTTATTTGGAGAGCAAAACATCTTAGGGAAGTTTTTATTTCATTTTGATAATCAAATTA